AAAGAGACCAGCCCCCAACTCTGGAATAAACCAGCACAGGAATAAATAGACTCATAGCTTTTCACTCTCCGCACAGACATAGATAATACACAAATATAGTGTAGCTGTGTTAGCTGAGACACGTTAGCAAGGGTGAAACATTTGGAATGGTCCAGGAAGGGAGACTTTGGGGTTTTTGGTAGCTTTGGACCAATTCTATGTAGGTTCAGACTGGAATAAAAAGTAATAAAATAAAACGGAGAAAAGAAGTTATAGAAAAAAACAAATTATAGCTCAATATATTTAAAAATAAGAGAGCATATGTGTTAGCTAAATGATTGTTAGTTTATTACATTTTACATTTAAACATTTTTCTTGCATTAAAAAAAAAGCTATTTGTAACTAGTTCCATTGGCTGTTGTACTAAAACGATAGAAAGAAAAAACCTTTCAATAACGTATATAGATACATTTCATTTACCACCTAAAGTCATATAGTGATGAAGGACACAGCACTGCAGTCACAGACCAGACAGTTTAATTCATGACTATCACATACTTTGTACTCATTTGCAAACTAAATGTGTTTTGCATTTTTAAAAAGTACCCCCCCCACACACACACACACACTCCCTAGGTGGATGATGGGCAGGAAGCTGGCGTTTCACTGACTAACAACAAAGTGATACTTGGCTAAAGGTCACTTCAGCCCAGCTGCTGTCCCTGTGGGTTCAGCCTGGGCATTGATGATGATGATGATGATGATGAGGATGGGGACAAAGTCTGGACCGTCCTGGTCCTCGCAGATGGCAGCATGGTGTCTGTCAAAGACCTCCATGACCTTCATCGCAGGTACGCGTCACTGCTCTGTGCAGCGCTGATGCCGTCAGCAGACCCTCTCAGCCGCTGCCAGATGCACACTGCTCATTTATTTCTCATCTCCGTCCCTCTGTTTACCCAGTGGACTGTTGCTCCGAGCCTGGCTCTGCACCACTATAATTGCTGCGGGGTAAATATTTACCACCACAGATGAGGTTAGCTCTTACGGGGAGGCGTTAGCAACTTTTTTTTTTTTTTTTTCCTCTCTCCAAAAGACGGCGATGACATCATGAAGAGCCAGAGCGCGTTAAACAAACATTTCTTCCTGCTCAGATGATAGGCTCCTACATTCCTTCACGTTGGACGTGGAAGACTAAAAAAGGGATCAGGTTTAAACCCGTGCCCCGTGGAGGCAGAATGATGCTTTGTTAAAACATTACAGGCAGTGACTCACGCCTCTCTCAGCAGCACTGTGTTTACTCAGCGCTCTGGCAGGCTCAGGTTTTGGCAGGTGGGCAGTTTTCATCTTTTGGTTTGCGAGGTGTCGTCATAATGTCAACAAGCGTCTCAGGTCTTTTTCTGATGGGCATCTCAGTGTTAAGTCCTGGACTCAGTCAGTCAGTCAGGATCACGCAACCTTAGAACCACAGCACCGTGTTATGTTATTGTTGCCGTTAGGATATGAGAACAGTTTTGGTTTCAATAACTACTGTACCACCCAGATTTAAAAATACACCGCAGTATGGTGCAGTTAAACTTCAACAACAACAGACACACTAAACTGGAAGTAACTGGATCAGCCACACAATTGTGAAATAAAAGCCAAGACGTTGGCTCTGCTGATTTAGGAACAGCTCCAGAAATGTAGCCACCATTAGCCAAGTGTCTTATTCACTTAATAAAAAAAAAGAATTGGGCATTAAAATAACAGGTTGTCACAAAGAAGCTGCTAATATGTAGAACGTCTTGTTTGTTTGATTTTTCCACTAAAAACAACATGAACTTGATAAATTCCACTTTTTTCTAAATTTTTTTTAATAAAAGTTTACAGTTTACTGCTGGTACGAAGCCCGAATTAAAACAAGAAAAAAAATAATCACTTAGTCAAATGTATAATGAAGAAATAATTGGCAGCAGACGTATAGTTAACACAGTTAATTGCTGTGCGCATCAATTTGCATTTATATGAACCAAACTGAGATAAAACCACAGATGGCTATGCCTCTGGGGGGAAATAAATAATCATGACACATTCAGATACGAGACTAGAATAAACATAAAAAAAATAAATTAGAAAAACTGATCATGTGTCCTTCATCATAGCCAAGTTTTTAGACTTGCCTTGTTTTTGTTTGAGGGAAAAAAATGTCCACAGGTGACAAACACGAGAATCAAAGACTGAGAATGAAGAGCAAACAGGAAAGAGCCTTCACCACAGACCAACCAAACAGCAGCTGGGGGTTTGTTGAAACATCCACAAATACAAAAACAAGAGAAAGATTCATTGGTTTATAAAGAGTACACAGTGAATGTTCGGTTGCTTCACCTGCAGGATTTTTTTCCCACATCTTCTCATTGATAACTACCTCCTCAGGCTAATTACCTGTTGACAGGAAAGCAGCATGTGTTTTTCAGCAGAAACTAGGTTTAAAAAAAGATGTCATCCATCC